TTTTTTTTTTTTTTTTTTTTTTTTTTTTGTCCGCGTTTGGCCCGAACGCCCGAACGCCTTCCGAAGGGGTCCCGTGCGTTTGGGCGTTCGTGTTCAGGCGTTCAGCCCATCCCGAATGCCGGCAACACTGTATATATATATATATGTATATATATATAAACAGGGTTTCCTAACCGAACGTTCGGGGGCCCGGGCTGGCCCTCGAACGTTCGGGCGTTCGAGGTCCCGTTCGGGGGCCGAACACCTCCAGGTTCGGCCCCCTCCAAAAAATATTTCGGGGCCTAAAAATTAGTTTTTTTTTCTGAATTGTTTTTGTGAGTTCTCTATGATGTAGCCTACACGCCTATAAATTTTGAAGCCATTCTCCTTAGCCAAAAAAAATTAAAAATCGTCAAAGATGAGGGTGTCAAAAAGTGCTCGCCCACTCACTATTTTGTTTTGTTTCACTTTTAACTTTTTGTTTTCACTTTATTTCGGGGCCTAAAAAATTTTATTATTTTTTGAAAAAAAATTAATGAGTTACTGATTATGTAAACTACATATCTGTAAATTTTGAGGGCATTTTTCAATGCCAAACAATAATTATAAATTGACAAAGATGGCGGTGTCGAAAAGGTTCAGGCACACTCACTCATTTTAATTCTTTTTATTTTTTTTTATTTTTTATTATAGTGTTTATTTTCTATATTGGATTTTTAATTCAAAGTTGGTAAAGAATTTGGATGTCGTGCCCAGGCAAATGTTGTTTAGTTTATGTTTCTCCATAACATAGTTGTTTTTCAGAATTTTTTGAAAACTGATTTTTATTTTTATTTTATTTTTTTGGGTCCCCGTTCGGCCTGAACGGCCGAATGCCTCCTGAAGGGGTTCCGTTCGTTCGGCCGTTTGGCCCGTCCCGAACGCAAGTAACCCTGTATATATGTACATATATATACGGGGTAACCGGCATTCGGGACGGGCCGAACGCCCGAACCCGAACGCCCGAACGTATGGGACCCCCTGGGGATGCGTTCAGCCGTTCGGGCCGAATGCGGACCAAAAAAAAAAAAAAAAAAAGTCATCAAAAAAATACGAAAAAAAAATATGTTATGGANAAAGTCATCAAAAAAATACGAAAAAAAAATATGTTATGGAGAAAAATAAATTAAACAAGATTTTTCCGAGCTTTACATCCGAATTCCTTACCAAATTTGAAAAAAAAGTAATATATGGAGAAGAAATACTAATAACAAAAGTAAATAAAAACAAAAGAGAATTAAACTTAGTGAGTGCACGAGCACATTTTTGACACCGCCATAATTGGCAATTTTTCATATATTGTTTTCCATAGCTAAATGCCCTGAAAATTTACAGATGTATACTTCACATAATACAAAATTCAATAGAAAAGTTTTAAAAAATAATAAAATCGTTTAGACCTCGAACTAAAGTGAAAACAAAAAGTAAAAAGCGAAAACAAAAGTCGGCGAGCATGTTTTGACACTGCCATCTTTGGCGATTTTTCATTCGTATTTGGCTGAACCAAATGACTTGAAATGTTATCAGCATGTACATCACGCCGTGAAGAACTCACAAAAAAACATTCAGAAAAAAACAATTATTTTTAGGTCCCCAAATAATTTTTGGCGGGGGCCGACCATCGTCGGGTTTGGACCCCGTACGGGACCCTGAACACCCGTACGTATGGAGGTCTGCCCAGGGACCTCCGTACGTACGGGCTGGTGACCTTGCATATATGTATATATATACAGGGTTACCAGACCGAACGTTCGGGGGGCCCCAGGCTGGCCCCCGAACGTTCGGGCGTTCGGGGTCCCGTTCGGGGCCCGAACACCTCGAGGTTCGGCCCCCGCCAAAATTTGTTTCGGGGCCTAAAAATAATATGTTTTTTCTGACTTCCTTTTGTGATTTCTCTACGATGTAACCTACACGCCTATAAACTTTGAAGCTATTCAGCTAAGCCAAAAAAACATTAAAAATCGTCAAAAATGTGGGTGTCAAGACGTGCTCGCTCACTCACTATTTTGTTTTCACTTTATTTCGGGGACTAAAAAACCTTATTATTTTTAAAAAATTTTTGAATGAGTTATTGATTACGTAAACTATGTATCTGTAAATTTTCAGGGCATTTGCCAATGCCAAAAAGTAATTACAAATCGGCAAAGATGGCGGTGTCGAAAAGGTGCTCGCACACTCACTCATTTTAATTCTCTTTTTATTTTTTTCTATTTTTATCATAGTGTTCAGGGTAACCGGCGCTCAGGACGGGCTGAACGCCCGAACCCGAACGCCCGAACGTATGGAACCCCATGGGGATGCGTTCGGCCGTTCGGGCCGAACGAGGA